TGCGATGTACAATTTCCAGCAGTGACCACTGCCAACAACTTCAAAGGAAAGAGTAAGAAACTTTGCATTAGGCTGTTGCAGTATGAACCATCTGTATCTGGGATCCTCTTAATTTCTAGCAATTAGAGCATGTTAAAAAATAAAGCACATTACATCTGAGAGGCAGGGCTGGACGGGTCATCAAGAAATAACTTTGTCCACATCAACCTCTCTCAAGTATTCCCTGCAGATACTGGTCTGTCTTGGTTTTAAAATCTCCACCGACAAATATCCCACGGCTCCTTTATGGTGGTTTGTTTCCGTTCTCCACTTTCACTAAGGTTGAGATTCACAGAAAACTACAGGGGGGAAGGGATCTCTGGAAGCCTCTGGTCCCTGTGCCACTCAAAGCAGGGCCAATTCACAGCAGGTCGCTTGAGAACTTCTCTAGCCGAGCTCTGAATGTCCCCAAGGCGGAAGGTTCCGGTTCTTCTCTGGACAATCTCTTGGACGACAATATTTCACCGTTAACACGGTGACGAAGTTTTTCTTAGCACGTAGTGGGAGTTCCCCTTCTCGCGACCTCCGCTTCTGTCGCTTCTTGTCCTTCCTCCGCGCCCCTCCCTGGGGGGCCGACCCCGGCCGGCGGGTCCCCGTACGCCTGGCTCACCGGGCACCTGCGGGCGCCAGGCGGATCCGCCTCTGCTCTCTCCTCCCCATCCCGAGCACGCCCGGCTCCCTCGGCCTCGCCCCGTGTAGCACAGCCCCCAGCCACCCCAGGGGGCTCTGCTGGCCTTGCTCCCCCCAAAGCGGAGCTGACGCGGCCCCGCCAGCGCGGAGCAGAGCGGGGGAGTCACGTCCCGCGGCAGCCCCCCTCCTCCTCCCTGCCGAGCTGCCGTCGAGCCCGTGGGCGCTCGTCGCCCCGGCCCCTGGCATGGGGCTACGCTGGACCTCATTTCAATTGTCAGCTCATTTCTCCAGCCTGCCAAGGGCTCTCAAGCTAATGCAACTCACCGACGTAGGTGTTACCTGGTTTAAAAGCTCCTCTGTGTTTATTTTGAACTGACCTGACTCCTCCACCCTACCTGCTATGAAGAATCCATTACATGATGCACCTTCAGCAGCAAAGACTGATGCAAGCAACCCCGCTGGGCTTCTTTGTTATGGTCTTTTCATTCCTGACTACTCTTTTGTACAGCTTGGTCACCAGAAAGTCTTACTGATCCCCTAGTTAGATCCCCGCTCTTGATGGTGTTGAAAATCATAGACTTCAGCACCCCTTGCCAAGTGCTCTTCAAATTCTTCTCCCATCTCTGAATTTCCTGTTAACATTTAACCAGCCATGTTTCTAGGCTTTCTTTTTCTTTCCATTTGGGCAAGCTCTCCAATTCCTGAATGCCACCCTTGCCTTGGGACGTTCTCCTGAGCTTTCTTATTGACCCATGGAAAGGCCCATTTTTTTGTGTGGTTTTATTTTTGAGTTTTGACACACAAATTTCCTGAGCTTCTAATACAGGATTTTTAAAAGCCCCCAGGCAGCTTACAAGCTTCCTGCTTTTTGGACTGATCCTTTTAGGATTTTTTCTAATAGTTTCGTTTTTACATAGTTCCTTTTCTTGAAGCTGAGTACCTGCATACTGGATTTTCTTGGCGCGCTCTCTCCTGCCGTTAGTGAAGCGTGTGATGGTTACTGCTCCAGCTCAGCCAGCACAGTTAACACCGCCTGAACTCACCCCGGTGCACCGCTCAGGACTAACTCCAGGAGCGCGTCTTTTCGTGGATTCTCAAACTGGTTGTTCAACCAAACATCCTTCATTGCATTCCAAAGCGTCCCTGCATCTCCCCCTGAAAAGGCACGGAGCTGCTCTGTGTGGGTGGCTGAAACCTCCCACTGTTCCTTACCTGTCCTAAGCGCGCAGATTCTCTTATCTCGCTTAACATTTCCTGATCGCTACCACCATCTAATTAGGGAGCCACTATTTCTTTTCTATTATTAAGAATCTGGAATTTCAACCCACAAGGATTCTGCAGTTCTTCTCTTTTGATGTGATATTTTTATGCTGTTACACTGTGTATTTTCTTTACGTACAGTACCAGTCCCTTGCCTGCACACCTTACTGTATCATTCCTGTAAAGGTGGAAGCCTGGCCACCATACACTCAGTGAGTACCTTTCTCCTACTGGATCTATGCGATGTTTATATTGGGGGTTTTCATTTCATGTTCCCCATTTTAATTTCATACAGGAAGAAAAAAATTGTTCCTTTTCTTTTTTTTTTGGAGGGGTTCAAATTTCCCAGCCTTTAATTTACTCCTGTTTCTCTGTTTTAATGTTATAAGAAGACTATTAAAAAAAAAAAAAAAAAAAAAAAAAGACTGTGGCTGGCAAATCTCAGCCATTTCATTTCCCACAAACAGCGAATCCTCAGCAGCGAGCCCCGCAGGCACGGCACGCCGCCCCAGAGCTCAGCAGGATGCTCCTCCACCAAGTTGCTATGGCCAGCTTGGACACTAGTCATACCGAGCGCTGGCCAGGGAGGGGGAATCTCCTGTTGGCAGGAAATAATTAGAACCTGTCACGAAGCTAGACTCCTTCAGAATATGAAAAATACATCCTTTTGAGCTGATTAGTATTTCTGGACTGTGAATAAACAGGGGACCCAGTACATAACATTTAGATTCCTCGCCGCTAAGCTGCGGTCGCAATGGAAACGCGCTGTTGTTACTCTCGCATCCTCTCCCCACCGCTCCTCAATCCCCGGCAGCACTTTGACATCTAGCCTACTGCACGTAACTCATTTGGATGAAAAGAAAGCAGTGATTTGTCCCAGGTCTTTGAAAAGTCTCAGTAAACTAAATGCTGCTTTCTTTACATCCAAGTAAGTTGCTTCATTTTTGACCTCCTTCTGACCGATGAAGTACACAGAACCGAGTTGATGTCATTTACAGGTTTTTAAACGATCAGGTTCTTTCCGAACCGATATTGTGACTCCTTCGTTTCCATAGTACTTCTTTATTACCACCGAAGAAGTCAAGTCATGAGGAAGAATTCTTCCACCATCTTCCAGTGAAGCTGATTCAGCGCTTACTGTCTTCATAACTTTAGTTTTATGTGCAGATTACATAGAAATCCCCTCCTCTTCCACCTGGAATGTTTGCGCTGTATCGCTTTGGTATTTCAACATGAGCCCAGTCCTGAGGGACTTCAGAGATGCAAACACACCGTTTGACGGAGGTAACGGGAACTGACAGCTAAAGGTGCTCAAAGAGCACAGATCTTTTTTATCGAAGTTTTGCGGAGGGGAAATACCCGGTCACATCCGTGTGAGGGAGTCACCTTACTGGCCTGTCCTGGGTTGAGTTCTGCTCGGCTGATCAAGGTGCTGTGCCCGAAGAAGGCCGGGGTCTCATGGGAAAAGGCAGCCCCGCTGCTGTAATTCAGCACTGGGAGGATTGCAGCATGCGGGGGAGTCCCACGCCGGAGCAGCTCGGGAAGGGCTGCAGCCGTGGGAGGGAATCCAGTCGGAGGAAGTTAGTGACCCACGACGGAGCAGTGTGGGGAACGCTGCGGCCCATGGGAAGGACTCATGTCAGAGAAAGTTTGTGGAGGACTGTCTCCTGTGAGAGGGGGACCACGATGGAGCAGGGGTAACAAGTTCCGGACACTCCCCTCACCGAAGCTGAAGGAAGTGGCAGCGCTGCCTGCACCCCCCATTCCCTGCCCCTGCGCCCCTGGGGGAGGAGGTAGAGATATCGGGAGCAGAGCTGAGCCCGGGAAGAAGGGAGGGGTGGGGGGAAGGTGTTCTCAAGATGTGGCAATGCTTCTCACTGTCCTACTCTGTTATGTGTTGTTAGTGTCTGTAATAAATGTATGTTCTTTTTTTTCTTCCCCTAACGAGTCTGCCTTTTGCTCGTGATCATAAAAGGGGGATTTTCCCCCATCCCAGCCCTATCTCGAACCCCAAGCCTGGCTCTCTGTCCCTTCTCATTGCCGGAGGGGAAGGGAGAGAGAGCGGCTGCGTGGTGGTTGGCTGCTGACCCGGCTCAAACCACGACAAGGCCGAACGCCCACTGAAGGGAACGACGAGGAGGCGTCGCTGGAAAGGACTCGGAAGTGTTTCCATGGCAAGGAAGATAACGCGAAGGCGAGCGGGGACGCCGGTGCCACGGCGCTCCTCCAGCCGGGCGACCATGCGGCGGGACAGCCCGGCCCCGAGGGGCGGCCCTGCGGGGGGGCTGGGGAGGCCGCGGGCTCTGCCCGGGGGGGCGCAGGGCTAACCCCGCGCGGGGCGGCAGCGCGGGGGCCTGCGCCTCGGCCAGGCAGAGCCGGGCGCGGGTTCTGGAGCACGCGGCAAGCCGAGCGGCTCCTGCGCAGCGAGCCCGGCGGCGGTGCCGGAAAACCTCAGCCGGGGTTGGGGGGAGCTCCTGCGGACACCGCGCTCCCTCCACGCGGCTAAACCAGCGAGGACGGGCGACTCCCCCCCCAGCCAGGCTGCCGTTATGCGGCGGGATTTCAGGAAACTCTTAGCTGCCACGATGTCCTACAGCACTTTTCTGTTCCAGCAGTACTTTTCTTTTACCAACTTAAAACTGGCTGGGTGTTTCCTTTACTTTCTCCTATTATAAAAGATTGCAAACATAAAAAGCACCTTCTCCCTCAGGCTCCTTCCCCTCTGCAATAAATATATTCCACAATGTTCGTTCCATGATTTGTTTTGCTCAGGTATCTACGTATTTATCTCTTCCCTAGACTAAGTAGGACTAATCTGCTTATTCTCGTGTCTCCTCTGACCCCATTTCTCATCATTTGTGTTGTCGTTTCCCGTTTCCCCGCTCTTCCCCTGCTGCCCGAGAACGCAGTATTTCTGCTGAAAACGAGGAAAGCGTACTGCTCTTTCGCACCAGCTGAACAAACAAAAAATGACAATTTCGCGCAGCCATTAGCATTAAGCTACTTAATTAGATGCTGCAAACCACCTTCCAGGTTCCACGGTCGGTAAAGAGGGATGAATATTCACTTACTGCATTTCCAGCTTCGGCAGCCAGCCGGGCGGCGTATCTGGCAATCAGCCTGTGCTCCTCGTCCAGCCTGCCGGGGCTGTCCAGGGCGCTGCCGGGGAAAAGCCAAAACACCCCGTCAGTACCCGCCGCCTCTAGACATTGCTCACACGGGGGGATGACAGAGAAAAGGATGTATTATTGCAAAGAGACAGCGGTGGGGAATAGAAGAGTCACACTGGAAATAATCTCGATCATTCCCTTTTTCATTCCACTTCCAAAGGAGGGACTGCTCTCAACGCTTTCAGCCTAGTGGCGTTTTCTCCAGGATTCACATATCCCAGTTGTAAATGATTAAAATAATTGGGCTTTCCACAATTAATAAAGGCGAATCATTAGGAACAAAATTGTTTCTCAGGAGCTTTTCTGCAAACCTTTTTGGCTTACTCAAGGTAAAACGGGGCAAATAACTGAATGGTGAAGGAGAAAAGCTTTGTCCTCAGGAGATGTAGGATGACAAGTGTCGAGGTCGGGATGATTTCCAGGAGGAAGAGCTGGGGGAACCACGCTGACCTGACAAGAACGGACTCTGTCACTGAACAACATCAACTCAAATGCAAATAGTACTTAGCGAGTCAGCCTGACTTACACCTGACTTCCTACCACCTTACAACACCCAAATGTACAAAGCACAGTAATTGGAGGTGTGGTCCTTCACAGCTCATCTAGCGGAGGGCAAAACAGTTCCAGCTGCCTTGCACCGCCTCACGCAGACAGGCTCTAGCTGTCTTGGAAATGTTGCTGAAAGAGATATTAAAAAAATATTTCCAATTATCATCAGCAACAGTGACAGCACCGTGAGGTGACAGAAGAAAGGGACGCGGAATTTTGAAAGAGGAAAATTAGAAACAGCAACTGGGACAGATCCCCAAGATTAGGAAGTGCAAGGCAGCGCCTGGATCTTTCTCACATTTAACAGAGCATCGTCCCCTCTGTGCACGTTAATCATTAACAGGATTCATCTGGTCTGGTAACCCCGCTAGAGTGCTGAATCTGTTTCTGCTATTCACAGAGAACTGCTGGTTTAGCTATAAATATACCGGGGGACAAGCGATCATTTTCAGGTTGTATTAACTGGAACCCGCCAACGTGAAGATCTATGACCAGCTCAGCTGGGTGGCACAGTGGCCTCGCCACAAAGAATCAGCGAGGAAAAGCCAAGTGAAGGGGCAGCTCTCCAAGTCGCCACCCAGCCGAACTATTCGACGGTCGCTTGCGGTCTCAGCGCCGCACAGAGATTTCCCCTCCGTCTCCCTGCAAACGTGGAGCCGCTGAAGGGGCAGCACGACCCGAGCCGCTGCTACCCGACCGCAGCCCGGATCCGGGTGGATGTGAGCACTGAGCCCCGGGCTGTGGCACGGCCTCCCGGGCTGTGGCACGGCCTCCCGGGCCCGCCCCGGCGCTGGCCCACGCCGTGCCGGCCGCACCGGCGTGCGCTGCCGCGGGCGCCGGGACCAGCCGCAGCGGCGGAGACGGACGGACACACGCCTGGTGCGCGGCACAAACTGCCTTTAGTCCGCGCTGCCACTTCACAAGATACCTTACATTGCTTTAAGCTTAATTCCGCGGATTTATGTTCACGGTATTTAAAGAACCAAATCTATATTGCATGCATTATGTTTATTTAAATATGCAGGTTTAACTTCTTTTTTGTAACACCAAATTTAACAACTTGATCTCTTTTAAGACTCCGAAAGTCTGCCAGATGATGTGTTTGAGACAGCGTAGAAACATTGGACTGGATTTAATGGACGTATGACTACAATTTACACAGATGGGTCCACGCTGAGTATAAAATGCACTAGTATGCCTCTGCGTTTGGGCTGTTGGATTAAGACCCGAGGGTATTCAGCTAAACAGTGCAAAGGAAGGAGCTGGTGAAAGGTGAGCTAAAAGAGGGGGAAAACAGATTTAAGAGAAGAAAAAGCAGAGTCTTTACACTGGGCTTGATGAATTTCTCACACGACTTCAAGCCAGTTCATTTTGATTTTTTTTGCTGAAGGAGAACAATCTTTCCCATCCCACTTTCTGAATTTGATATTATTTTTGTTTAGCTTTCCTCTGCAATTTTGTTTGTACAAGTTTTTTTCTGCTTTTATAGGAATGCGGATCATTCCATCCCTTCCACCCTTTCCATAACCTGGTGTCTCCTAATACCCCTCCCAGCTCCTGGAACTATCACCTCTTCTTAGCTGAGCGAATTAGAAGATAGTTATTGACAATTTCTTACTTTCTTGTAATGTAAAAAGGAAATAGATCCTTTTGCATTTGCTTTTAGAAATATTTTACAGATGGAGAGGAAATGGAGTTCAAGTGCACCTCCTGTGTATTCTTTAATATAAACCAGTTTGAACAAATGAACCACCGCTGCAGCCCACAGCTCTGCTGGATTTACAGAGCGGGCGTTAAACACCGTCTACAAAACACCGCGGAATTCTTGACATTGCATCACGAAGGAAAACTCACTTCTTTGCAGTTTTAATTTCTGTGGAGACATGGCTGCAAAGTCTTCCTATCCCGAAACCCCCTCCCTGACAGGAGTCCTGGGAGCTCCCCATCCTCTGGGACAGCAGCGGCACTGCAAGCTGCGACCCCCCCCGCCGCCCAGACCAGCCCCGCCGGGACCCAGAGCCGCGGGGAGGGCCCGCAGCGGTGGCCAAGCTCAGGAAGAACAGCACAGGTAGCGAAGGATAAGCCTGGCTTAAGCCCAGAGCTCAGAAGGGAGGAGGGTACGTGAGTGCGAGCTCAAGAGATTTTCACAGCAGCAGAATTTTGGAAAGGTAACGTTCTAGATTTCCCCATCTTAAAAACGCTGCGCCGGGCGGCCTGGTCCGTATGACAACGCCGTGCTGCTTACAGAGCGGCCGGTCGAGCCGTGGGCTCTCCCGCTTCCCCCGCGGGGGACGCGGGTGCGTGGGTAATGCGGGTGGGCAGGTCTGAGCGGGGGAGGCTCCGACTGGCCCCGGGACGCGTGGCCCTCGGGACAGCCCGGCTCCGCCGCAGGGACGAGCACCCCGGCGGCACGGCGAGGTCCGGCTGACTTTTAGGCGTCGATGGAAACGTCCGGGGCAACGTGAGGAGGGCGTGCAGGAGGCATGGCTCCTGCGGTCACTCTGGTCGGGCCTGGGCGCTCGCGGCCCCTGCCCGCCACTGCCGCGCCGGGGGAAAAAAAGGGGAAAATCGGCACCTGTGCTGGCTTGAGGCTTTCGTGGACCCGGGCCCAGCAACATGGGGGCAAATGCAGCCTGTAAAGAGAAAGCTGGGATGCCAGCGCCCTGTTGTCAAACACTAACACAAAAATGAGCTTGGACAACCAAAGTGTTGGCTAGGGATGGGTGATCAGTGAAGGATGTACGGGAAGGTGATACATCATGGGGGGAGGTTTGGGATCTTAGGCTCCTTCCACAACTGCTCAGGAATTCATGACGCTGAGAAGCGGCAGAGGACAGCAAAAGAAGGCATGGCTTATTCTTCTAGCACCGACCTGAAGGGCCACACGTCCCACGTGTCAACTGATGGTGAGCCAAGAGTAAGGATCTTGGGGACAAAGTGTCTTTAAGAAAAGTGACTTTTTCCTTTCATCAACCCTGTGGCCGGCTGTCTTCTGCAGGAAATGCAGAACACATCAAAATAATGACACTCCAGGCAGGGCTATTTAACTTTGCTGGTGAAAAGTGGAGCTGAAATAAGGGCTTCATGGGGACTGGGGAAAAGCAGGCTTGCTGAAAGATGTGGAACATTATTCAGTTATTAAGTTATGAATGAACTTTAGAAATATGTAACAAACAACTGTCCAAGTAATAAAGCACAACTCAACAGCTCCCTAAGCTTTCTAACTGCATACGGTATAACTCGCTGCTCTCTGCAGCTGCCTTTGCCTGCAGCACTTCCTTTCAGGTGGGGATTTTCTATTATTTCTTTGAAAAGCACTTAACCAATTTGGCTTGCTACCACAATAACACTGTAGGTAGAAAAAAGAAAAATATATTATTGTAAGATAAATGAAGTCCACTGAGCTCTGTTTCCTATATTCCTTATGTAGCTCAGATGGACTCTTTGGTTGGAGGACATCAGTGAATTACATAAGCCTTAACATGATGAAAAATCTCAGGGATCCAGCTAGCAGTGGCTTAAAGGCTCTCAAACTTTGGCTGAAAGAAGTGAAAAGATACTGGGCAATAAAGAGCAAAGGTGAGTATACATACAATCAGTGACTGGAAGTGGAAGAAAGAGAAAGATAAGTTAAAATTTGAAGTATGGCTTTTTTTTTTTTTTTTTTTTTAACAGTCAGCACAATTGATCACTGGGACAGACTGTCAATGAAATGAGTGGCTTCTCCATCATGGTGTTCTCTGAGAGCCACATCTTCAGAGAAACAAGGTGTTAGGATCAGCACAGGGATGACTAGGGGTCATGGCTTTGAACTGCCAGAGGGCAGATTTAGGTTGGATCTAAGGCAGAAATTGTTCCCTGTGCGGGGTGTGAGGCGCTGGCCCAGGGTGCCCAGAGCAGCTGTGGCTGCCCCCTCCCTGGAAGGGTTCAAGGCCAGGTTGGACGGGGCTGGGAGCCCCCTGGGCTGGGGGAAGGGGGCCCTGCCCGGGGCAGGGGGGGGCACTGGGGGGGATTTGAGGGCTCTTCCCACCCAAACTGGTCTGTGACTCGATGAATAGGATAGGACAAGGTAGGCCAGACCAGACCAGACCAGGATAGAATAGAATATAGAATAGAAGAGAATAGAAAATAGAATAGAAGAGAATAGAGAATAGAATATAGAGGAGACGAGAAGAGACTAGAAAATAGAATAGAATAGAATAGAATAGAATAGAATAGAATAGAATAGAATAGAATAGAATAGAATAGAATAGAATAGAATAGAATAGAATAGAATAGAATAGAATAGAATAGAATAGAATAGAATAGAATAGCAATCAGCCCGACTGCCTGATCACTTCAGGGCTGACCAAAAGTTAAATAAAGCATGCTGTTAAGGACATTGCCCAAATGCCTCTCGAATGCCCCAGTTCCTGGGCCCCGGTGTGAGGGGGCAGGGACGATGCTCCACGGGTGCCCCCTGGGCTGCTCTGCCCGACAGAGGGGCCGTGAGGAGCGTCCTGGGAACAGCAGCAGCCCCGAGCAGACGCAAGCAGGAAACAGAAGAGAGAAAGCAAGTGATGGAAATGAGAGGAAAAGCTGTCCGTAAGGGAGATTTACTGTTATCTGAGTCAGAGGCAGAGCTGCTCTGCACCGGCCGGCTGCGGTACACGGAGGATTTCCACACAGCCTGCCAAAAGCAGGAAGATACACTGTGAGAGGAGATCTGGGGGGCGAGGGGTGAAGGCCAAAGAAGTGAGGACGGAGTACACGTTTGATCGGTCTCTCGTGCTGACTTAGAAGACACTCCCATGCACAATGGAACTAGGATTTAAATTCTTTTCTTTGCGTTTGGTTCCTTCTAGGAGTACACTGTTACTCTGGCAACAGTACCAAGTGATTTTTTTAAATTTAAAGACCTAAAAGACCGAGAACCTCAACTGCAACTCATTGTAGCATGGCAGCTATGAGCTACACACAGTATTTCAATCTGTCATATCCTCTTCAACATGCACTCCTTTGTATTGCAAAATCCTATGATTATAGTAATTGAGTGAAGGTGAGAGTCTGAAATTCCTTGGTTTTTACTGTCTTGTGGACAATATTACAGGCTTTCAGTTGATTGCAGGTGATCACAGACAACAGTAATTCACTATAAAGAAAAAAACCCTGACTTTCCCCAGAGACCTAAACAGCCAGAATGTGCTTCATCAATACAGCAGTGGAATACAAATTTCTACATGACAGAGGGATGAAGTAGGACCCTAAAAATATTATTCAGAGGATGACAACATGGATAGAGCAAGGCCTTTACATATAGCCCCCATATCACTAAACCTCTTCTTCCTTGCCAGCACAGCTCTGGCTCTGTAAAGGCGTAATTTAATTAGGGCCAAAAGTGGAATACAGAAAACCTCCCAACTGTGTCCTGTGATGAAATGGGAGAGCTATGTTTTGGGGCTTTAGGGTAAAATTTCTCTACATAGACACAGACATGAAATATAAATGTGCACAAATACCAAAGATGAGATAAAAGAAATCTAATTCTTCAAAGCATTAATGTTTTTTGGAAAGGCACAGAAATAAAGAGTCATATTAAGCAGGTTAGGTCGATGGGATTGAAAGAGTTTGCTTGTTCAGCCCAGGAAACAAAGATGGTGAGAGGATGCGACGTCTGTGACTGCATTTGGGGTGGAGAGGTAAAAGCAGTAAGGAGGAAGAACAGGGAGAGTCATAGGACAATGCTGGCACGAAATCTAATGGGTGTGAGCTGGCTGTGAAAAAATTTAAGGGGGAAGACTGTGGAGAGCAGTGACAAGTGACACTCATCGGGGGTCAGGGCTGGGCCCAGCCCTCTTTAGCATCTTTGTTGGTGCCACGGACAGTGGGATCGATGCACCCTCAGCAAGTTCACCCATGTCACCCAGCTGTGTGGTGGGGGACACGCGGGAGGGCAGGGATGGCATCCAGAGGGACCTGGGCAGGCAGGACTGAGCAAACCTCATGGAGTGCAACACGGCCAAGGGCAAGGTCCTGCCCGGGGGTCGGGGTGATCCTCAATATCAGCACAGGCTGGGGGATGAAGGGGTGGGGAGCAGCCCCGAGGAGAGGGACTGCGGGGAACTGGGGGGGGGGAAAGCTGGACGTGACCCAGCACCGTGCACACACAGCCCAGAACCCACCCGTGCCCTGGGCTGCAGCCAGAGCAGGGGGGGCAGCAGGGCCAGGGAGGGGATTGTCCCCCTCTGCTCCGCTCTGGGGAGACCCCCCTGCAGTGCTGGGGCCAGCTCGGGGGCCCCCAACAGCAGAAGGACCCGGAGCTGCTCGAGCGGGGCCAGAGGAGGCCACGGAGATGCTGGGGGGGCTGGAGCAGCTCCCCTGGGGGGCCGGGCTGAGAGAGTTGGGGGGTTCAGCCTGGAGAAGAGAAGGCTCCGGGGGGACCTTTGAGCGGCCTCCCAGGGCTTAAAGGGGGGACAGGGAAGGGGGGGGGGACTCTGGGTCAGGGGGTGGGGGTAGGAAAAAGGGGACGGTTTTAAACTGAAAGAGGGGAGATTTAGATTAGATGTAAGGATGAAATTGTTCCCTGTGCGGGGGGTGAGGCGTTGGCCCAGGGTGCCCAGAGCAGCTGTGGGTGCCCCCTCCCTGGAAGGGTTCAAGGCCAGGTTGGACGGGGCTGGGAGCCCCCTGGGCTGGGGGAAGGGGGCCCTGCCCTGGGCAGGGGAGGGGCACTGGGGGGGCTTTAAGGTCCCTTCCCACCCAAACCGGTCAGTGATTTGACAATTTTGTGAAATTAGACAGTTTCCTACTGGTGAATGATGAGATTCCGGAATGGTCATGGAGAGAAGAATTATCTAACCCGTTTGGAAGGATGTTAATCAGTTCATGTAAGGGGTTCTGTAACACAGAAAATGCAACAGGGCGGGAATGGGCACAAACCGATCCCCTCCTATCTAACGTTTCCCCTGTGCAGATTTGTGTGTGCGCGCACATGTACTTGCGTACTTTCAGAAGATTTTGGAGAGCACTAAATCCATTTCCCTCTATTTGCCAATGGAGGCCAAGTACCTTTGATTGGAACATCACTGCCTGGAGGAAGCAGCGTTACTGTCCCCGTCCCTGCCCCGGGAGCGCTCTCCTAACACTAACCGTGCACCGCTCTGCAGCCGGGTCACATAGGTTGCTATCAGTGCATGCTCGTCAGCTAACGGGCTGGCAGCGTCCAGGTTGCACTGTAACCTAGTAGCAATGAAGGCAAAAGAGAGCAAACAAAACACAACGTAAATACAAAGCAAATAATTAATGAACGTTAACGAAACAAACAGTTAAAAATTAAAACAAACAGATGGCTAATTAAAAATGCAAACAGGCTTCCGCAAGTCACGTGAAAAGGATACCTTCTGCAGTTAAAGATGAGAACACAGATCGGAGAAACCTGTGGGTGCCCAAATACGCCCGGAGGCCAGGTCCCCGGCGAGCGGGGCCGCCCCGAGCCCCACGGCCGGGAGCGCCAGGCAGCCCCCGGCAGCCCCCGCCGGCAGCGGGGCCGTTCCCAGCCCTCCCACCCCCACGGAACGGGCCCTTCGGCTGCCACAGCCCCCCCAGGCCCCCACGGCACGGGGCTGCCGTGGCAGTGCCGTGTCTGAACCCAGAGCTGGACGCGCCCAGCCTCTTCTCTTCCGCTTGTAAGAGAGGCCCGCCAAGCAAAGATACGAGGAAAGGGATAGAAAAAATAACAATTCAGTGGTTGGCATCAGGAGAGCTACCCACTATCAGGGATTCACTGAATGACATAGGGGTTTTTTTGTTTGAGGACTCATAAAAACAAAGCTACTATAGTTTTGAATATTTCTGCGGATAGAGATTGAATGCAAGAAATATTTGTCAGAGGTAATCTCACATAAATATTTGCCTACATGGTCCAAATAAAATGTGCTGGTTTCTACCACGCTTGCAACTGCAGCATCTCAAAACCCCTCAGAGAACACAGCAAAACGGTTCTTTTTTTATCCCAGGCATCGCACACAAAGGCAGCGACTCTTCCTTCCCTGCCCCAGCAGAGCGAGACACCCAGCCTGCCGCGCCGCATTTCCGCCACCGCCACGTGAAGTTCTGCCCGCAGGAGACCAGCCTGCGGTCCCACCACACGACACGGTGCACGCGTGGAGACAGCACCACTCTGCTGGGAGCTGAAAAGCCCCGTGAAGGTATGAGATCAGATTGTTACCTAAAAAAATCATTTTTGAACACATATCACTATTATTTTAGCAGAATACCCATTTCTTCCTAAAATCTAAGTGTACAAGAAATTCCATTCTTCATTTCTTCCTAAAATCTAAGTGTACAAGAAATTCTTCATTTTTATGTCAGGTATTCCAGCTGCTCTTTCAATTTATAAACTGCCGTTAATTCCTTCTCCACACGCGTCCAGGAAGTATTTGTTTCAGAAGCTTCTATAAACATGGCATTTATTGCTTTCAGCATCAATATAGTGATACTATGAAAACAGAATTCACATTTTTTAGACATACAAACTCTTTTCTTCTTTGTTATGTGCAGCAACATGTCAGAGAAGTCTGCCAGAAGCAGAATAAGACCTTATAAAAAAGAGGCAAAATGGAAATACCCACGTCAACCCCTCCGGGCAATGAGCAACCTTTGTAATAATGGGTTTGTAATAAGAGAGAGACTTAACGTTAACCACTGCACAGAAGAATTTTAAGCAATCTACACTTCGTGAAGCCTGACTACTGGCAAGTGCTGAAAAGCTTTCGGTTAGATATGCTTTATAGCAGGCACATTGCTGCAACCACAACAATTAAGATTCCAAGACCTTTTTCATTCTAACTCCTTACACATGCCCTTTTGAAAAGGAAAAAGCCCAGCAGAAATGACCACATTTTTAACTCAAAATGGCAATAGCTTAACAATGATTAGCATTCCTGGTTTTGGAAGAAAAATAAGAGTTAGATTAAATTAACGTGAGTCTGAACACTGTCCCTCGCACGCATCTGATTTTCCATTCACATCTCCGAACACGGGTAAGCTTGCCCAGCACCCCAGCCCCCTCCAGAACATCACTCAGCAGCCTCCGAGCCTCAGAAAAATCACAAAGTGCAGAATCAAGGTCCGTGCTGACAGCCCCCTCCCGGGGCGGCACTGAGGCAGCAGGAACCCCCCGCGCATTCTGCCCGCTGCTCTCTGCGAGGCGCAGCTCTGGGCCGTCACGGAGAGCAAAGGCACCGTCAGACCAGGCTTTTGGCTGCAGGGGAGCTGGAGAAGGAGGGTCACGGGGGGGGGGGGCCCACCACTCCTGATAAATCCATCACCAAAAGAAGCAGCTGCATCCTGGGGAGAATCCATCGCTGTGTTGGGCAGGCTGGGTCAGCTACAGCGTACAGGTATTTTCTCACTGAAGAGGGTATCTAAGCGTAGTGGGCAGGAGACAGCGCAGAGCTTAGCGGCATTCTGCGGCTTGTGCTGGGGTACTGCAAAAATCGTGGAGGTATGAGTGTCACCTTCATAGAGCAAAAGATGCATTAAAATATAAAACCTAGCGTAGGTAATCCTGATCTGTAAAACTCACATAAACACAAGCTCTGTGGCTCAAGAAAAAAGCATTAAGCTCGTATCCACTGTCCTAGTACCCTCCCGGCTGAACGTGCTGCTCTATTTGCAAACGGCAGACTGCACTTGTCCCCTAGAGCAGAGCCATCGTGGCAGTGCTGGCTCATTATTCAAAGAAAGCAGAATTTAAGTTATGTCGACACGTACCTTTACCTCTCGTTTCCGAAGGGCTTGCCTTTTACTGAATTCAGCTCCTCTGGGAAAGCTGGAGGTAACTATGGACGAGCTAAATTCTTTGTAAACTTTGTCAGTATAATACCTACTGAATGTTTGTGTAGCAATTAGTGCTCATTCCAAGCAGCCGTAGCATGATAATTTACAGCTGAGCAGCAGCGCAGGTGGCAAGCAGCAGAAGCATGACAGCACTACTGACAGGACAGGAAAAGAAATCATAAACCGAGTGTATATATACTTGTATCTTAAAAATGTATTTTGTGTTGGCCTCGGGTAAGGTGCAAAATGGTTTGGTGTGTCCCTCTGCTTCCCGATCCCAGCCAGCAACGTTCCCGGTTGCACGTAACCGGACCTGCACCATCTGAATCTGCACCACCACCACCAGCCCACCTCCCCTCGCTTTCCTGGGAAGCAACTGGCACCTCTGGAACAGCGCTGCGCCCGCACCCGTGCCCACGTCACGGGCAGGGATTGACTCGAAGGCCACTCACCCACTGGAAACACTGAGAAAGCTGCGTGCTGAGCTGGGGATCGACTGGGCTGAGCTGGGGATCCCCTGGGCTGAGCTGGGGATCCCCTGGGCTGACCTGGGGATCGACTGGGCTGACCTGGGGATCGACTGGGCTGAGCTGGGGATCGACTGGGCTGAGCTGGGGATTGACTGGGCTGAGCTGGGGATCCCCTGGGCTGAGCTGGGGATCCCCTGGGCTGAGCTGGGGATCGACTGGGCTGAGCTGGGGATCAACTGGGCTGAACTGGGGATCACCTGGGCTGAGCTGGGGAACGACTGGGCTGAGCTGGGGATCGACTGGGCTGAGCTGGGGATCAACTGGGCTGAACTGGGGATCACCTGGGCTGAGCTGGGGAACGACTGGGCTGAGCTGGGGATCGACTGGGCTCAGCCAGGGATCGTCTGGATGATCTGGGGATCTCCTGGGCTGAGCTGGGGATCGACTGGGCTGAGCTGGGGATCACCTGGGCTGAGCTGGGGATCGACTGGGCTGAGCTGGGGATCGACTGGGCTGAACTGGGGATCACCTGGGCTGAGCTGGGGATCGACTGGGCTGAGCTGGGGATCAACTGGGCTGAACTGGGAATCACCTGGGCTGAGCTGGGGAACGACTGGGCTGAGCTGGGGATCAACTGGGCTCAGCCAGGGATCGTCTGGATGATCTGGGGATCTCCTGGGCTGAGCTGGGGATCGCCGTCTCCCCGCGCCCAGGCGGCTTCTCGCCTCTCCCCATCGCACCCCAAGGCTGCTGACTCGTCTCCTTCCCTCTCCCCACCTCTTCCAGGGATCACACACTGTCATTCTATATTGTTTTCAGATGTTTAAATGTACATAATCCTTAACCTCTGCACTTCTGGTGTTTTGAAGTTTAAGTGTAGGCACACTGTGTTTTGGAAGGCTAATAGATACCCCTGGTGAGCACTGAATTAAAACTGTTCTGAGGCATTTCACTTCTTTGGACGAGACAAAGCCCTGCAATATCTCTGTTCATCACAGCCCAGCCCCATCCTTCGTCATCAGCCCTGGCTGTTTTCTGAACACCATCTCACCAGACCCACTGCACCACAGAACCGCGACACAGCTCTTGGTCACCAGCCACCGCGATACAGCTCCCAAGGACACTCCTTATCACCTGTCTTGATTAGAGCAATTTCTCCTCTCTAGCCTTATAAACGCAGCTCTGACCTTCTCTTTTTTTTTTTTTTTTTTCCCCAGTGAATCCCTTGTATGTCAAAAGGCAATTCTGGAGTAACCCAAGCCAATCATGAGTTTGGACAGAATTTGATAAATAATTTTAAGCAAAATAAAAATCACAAAAACTTAGGAATCGCTTCTCCGTGTTGCTCCAGCCATACTGCTCGTGAACGTCATGTGGATGTTTAGTCTCCTGTGGAAGTAGTTCCATCTAACACGTTTGGATATACTCTTTAAATTAAAGAAAATCAGAATAGCTCTATGGCTTGGTAATGAACTTACTAGAACTGTGATGTGGAAAGCACCTCTGGAGGTCTCCAGTCCACCCCTCTCCTCCGAGGGGGATCAAACAGATGACATAGCAGATGTTTTCCTAAACTGCTGTTAGAGAGCGTACTGCTGGGCTGCGTACCCTGGTCTGGAACGCCGCCGCAGAGCTGAACAAACCTCTAGACCTACGGCTTCCACCACTCACCCGAAACCTCCAGGGAGAACTGAATCTGGTGCTTGTCCTCCCCGCGCCCGGGCAGACGCCGAGTCCGCTCACCGAGCCCCTGCCCGCGGGGACGGCCGAGAGGGCTCTGCCAAAGCAGAAGACTCTCCTTCTCCTCTCAGCTGCTTCTGGACTCGCCACGTGGCTGCAGCCTTCTCAGCATCTGCCGTCCAAAAGTCAGGACGCGGCATCAGGGGGAAGCCACCGCGACTGGGTCACTGTCTGAGCCGTCCTAGCCAC